CTTCCTATGTGCTCCTATTGCTTTTGGCACATATAATAATCATATTAAGGATAACAGGAATAATAATAGTAGCAAAAAGGTCTAAGTTACCATTGGTGAGTATGTCTGTGAACCAGGTGTCACGATAAGTGCTTTACATGCATTATTTAATGCTCGAAAGAACCCCAGGGGGAGATACTCTTATTGTCCTCGGTTTACAGATTGTATCAGTTAAGAGCTGAGTTTGGCTGCACATAGAAACCTGTCCATGGTGGCTTAACTGAATGGAAGTTATTTTGCTCAAATAACAATAAATTTGAGGTAGAGGGGCTAGGGCTGGTATGGTGGCTCCACAACACCATTCTGAGCATGTAGCTTTTGTTACTGTGGAGACAAGATGTCTGCTGCTTTTCCGATCTGTGTTCCAGGTAGGAGGAAGGGTAAAGGGCAAAGGGCAAAGGGCAAAGGGTGAAGAGCCAAGAGCCTTTCTTTTCATGGTTTTGTCTTATTGGGAAGTGATGCTATGCCCTACCTACATCTTGCTGGCCAGAAGTGTGTTATGTGGCCACCCTTAGATGTCAGGGAGCCTGAGAATTCTTTTTCCCTCTTTTTATTTTTCATTTATTTTTATATATTTTATTGAATTTTATAGAGAGAGAAAGAGAGAGAGAGAGAGCAAGAGAGAGAGAGAGAGAGATAGAAACATCGATTGGCTACCACCTGAACGACCCCACTGGGGACTGAGCCTGAAACCGGGCATGTGCCCTGCCTGGGAATTGAAATGGGACCTTTCAGTCCATGGGATGATGCTCAATCCACTGAGCCACACCAGCTGGGCCTTTTTTCCTCTTTTTAAAGCTAGGAAGATTTCTGCCCTGAACAAAATTAGGGTTCTGCTAGTAAGGAATAAGGGAAGAATGGATATTGGGTTAAGAACTACCAGTGCTTGTCACACAAATGAAGAAAGTGGGTCTTAGAGATGCTAAGGATCTTGTCCAAGGTAAAATATATGGCCAAGTCAGACTCAAACCCATGTGTGCTTGACACTGGAGTCCATGCTCTTGACCACTATGAGAGATGACCTTTTTATTTGTCTGTCTTTTTTCCTCTAGACTGAGAACTCGTTGGTACCAGGAATTAATTTTATTCTTCTTGGCATTCCAGACTCTTGCTCATAGTTTGTCAAATGGTAAATGAATAAATATTAGGACTTCAGTAGTTTCTGCAGCTAAAATTCTTTCTAGGAAAATATCCTTTAATTGTCTTCTTCCTCTGTAATGTTTTATAACCACCTCTTCCCACAGAAGTAGCTGCAGATATACATGAAAGAAAATGGTCCTGGTCTTTGTGCTGCCGTGGGCACAGTCAGGCCTCTTCAACTATTTATAAGTGTGCGGCAGAGCTCTCGCTCTACCCCCCCTTCCTCTCCCTTCCCCCTCTCCCTAAATGCTTAATGTTTGTTTACAGGGCAGGGTCCAATTTCTCTTTGTTCTGCCTGGTCATGCAAACATTCCTATACCCCATTGCTCTATTTCTTAGGGAAATACTTGAATAACAATAATTTCAGTCACAAGCAGACCTGATCCCAAATCTCATTTCTTGCTGGGTCATGGAGCAGCCTAGAAGGACCTAGCATCATTTAGATTTTAGTATTTTGGCAGGGCAGGTAGGGAGGGGAGAATTCTTCAGATACCAGTTTAGTAAGTAAAATTTTCAGAAAATCAACCTCTGATGACCCTAGGTTTAAAAAAAAAAAAAAGCCATTGTTGTTCCATAGGCCACTAGGAATTATTCTAATTTTTCTTCAAAGCCATAATGTTTATGCTTGGTTGCACAGGATTAAGCCCCATCTGCTATGGGGTACTGCCAACTGGAGACCCTGACTTATGTTGAGATTAATTCAGCTCAAGAACAAGCTCGTAGGCACTTGAACTTCCAACTTGATGGCCCAAATAGCAGTATTAGACGATAAATATTTACTTATTTATTAAGCAGTTACTACATGTTACACACTGTGTTCAGTACTTTATTTTGTTTCATTTAATTTCTAGAACAACACTGTGACCATTGTTATCTCATAAGCAAGGAATGTAAAATTTAGTGAAAATAAAGGACTTACCCCAAATAGTGGTTGCACCAAAGGGTGACTTGGGGAACTCTGCCCATCTTAATCTCCACCCAAGCTACCTTCTGTAATTTAAAAAATTCCAATAGTAGTGATAATGTTATTCTTTGATCTTGACAATGAGCATTTTTCTCATCTTATTTAAAATGTGAATAAAATGATAATGGTAATAATAATAATAGCTAACATTTATTTTTTATTTTATTTTATTTTTTTTAATCCTCATCCGAGGACATTTTTCCATTTTTTGTTCAGACATAGTGGGAGGGAGGGAGAGAAAGAGAGAGAGGGAGAGAGAAAGAGAGAAAGAGAGAGAGAGAGAAACATCAATGTGGGCTGCCACCCACACGACCAACCAGGGCTGGGGACAAACTGCAACCGAAGTACGTGCCCTTAGCGGGAACCGAACCCGGGTCTCTCTGGACCGCAGGCCGACACGGCCAGGGCATAGCTAACATTTATTGAGTGCTTACCAATCTGTTTGAAGTTCTTGATGTGTGATAACTCATTGAGTCCTCACAACATCCTTTTAGGAGGGTACTATTTTTATCCTAATTTTCAGATGAAGAAAGTAATGCTCAGAGAGGCTAAGAAGCTTTCACAAGGCATCATGATCTGTCAGTGGCAGAGCTAAAACTTGGCTATTTTTATTGATCTATGACACAGCCCAGGTAAAACATATGTGCTTGCTATGAAAACTAGGCTTCAAGACAAGTTCTTCAGTCCTCCCTTCCAATCAGTCTGCAGGCTCTGAACTCCTTCTATTTAGACATTCTTTTCTTTATTATTATTTTTAGCCTCACCTGAGGACATTTTTCCATTTTTTGTTCAGATAGAGTGGGAGGGAGAGAGAGGGGGAGAGAGCGAGAGAGAAACATTGATGTGAAAGGGACACATTGAGTGGCTACCACCCTCACGACCCAACCAGGGCCGGGGACAAACTGCAACCGAGGTACATGCCCTGAGCAGGAACCGAACCCGGGTCTCTCCAGACTGCAGACCGATGCTCTAACCACTGAGCAAAACTGGCCAGGGCTATTTAGACATTCTTAAGTGATCAGTGGTCCAACATTAATGGGTAATAGGTGCCAAAGCCTGGGATTCAAACCTGGGTTGGTCTGTCTCCAGAGCAAGGATCTGCAGCATTGTACTGTTCCAGCCCTAGCCAGGTTACATCCAAGTTTAAAGGACAAATCATAGACCCATCTGAAAATAATTTTATAAATCATCTAACTCAGGGTTTCTTAACTTCAGCACTATTGATATTTTTGGCTGAACAACTGTTGTGAAGACTGTCCTGTTCATCACAGGATAGTAAACATTCTTGACCTCTACCCATCAGATGCCAGCAGCACCCCTCTGTTGTAACAAATGTCTCTGGATGTTGACAAATGTCCTGGGGGAGAGGGCAAGGGACAACATCACCCCTGGTTGCAAACCACTAATTTAAACCATCTCCTCATTTTACAGATGATGGAACAAGGGCTCAAAGAGATGGAGTAACTTGTTTAAGTAGAATCCAGGTCGTCCATACAACATCATTGTATCCCTATAACGTACAGGCCACAATATGGAACCCAGAGAAAATAAATGCCTCTTGGTCCCTCCAGTCTCTTAGGAGAAAGAAGGTACTGCACAAATGTCTCTAATTGCTCCAACTTGATAAGAAATGAAGTGTTGCACAGGCAGCAAGGCGTAGAGAAAGAGATGATCTGGTGTCCTGAGTTTTGGATTTGCTGGACTGAAGCAGCTCCACGTTCATCATCAATGTAAAGTATAGTTCCTGGTATGAGCTCTGCCTGTACCATCAGCTTCAACACGGGTCTGTGAACGCACTGTGCGAACTGTAAGGCCCTTACACACATCAGGTACTAGCAAGATGATCAGGAATGTGATGATGATGATGATGATGATGATGATTAGACTAAAAGTTTTTAGCACCGAGGAGAGCCGTGAAGTGATGACTTCATTCCTGGACCTTTTCAGCTATAGATCGATCTCCATTCTTCTGCTGGAGAGGGAGCAGGCAAAGTCCTCCCTCCCAGAGTGCCCTCCTCTCGCCTGGAACGAACCCGTCCCTCGGGCCGCGCAAGCCCCGCCCACCCCGGGGGCGACCCCGCCCTGGAAGGGATCCGACTCGCTCCCGCCGCTCCCGCCGCACTTCCAGCCGCGCAGTTCCGAGGACAAGCCCTCGCTGGTGCCGGAGATTCCCGAACTTTCCCGACCACTTCCCGGCCTCCCTCGGTCGCCCGGAGAGGAGGAGGCGGAGACTGCCGAGGGGTGTTGGCCTCGCCCCTTCGCAGGCTCGGCCGCCGCGGCCGCCCCGCCCCTCCGCCCCACCCCCCGGCCTCCCGCGCGGGCTGGAGTCCCAGATCCCGGGCCCTCCCTCCTCCTCCTCTCCCCGCCTTCCCGGTGCTGCCACAGTGGCGGGCCGGAGGATCCCGGCCAGTCAGCTCGTCCCTGCTCCGAGCCACTCCTCCCCCAAATAAACACCCCTCCCCACACCTCGGGAGCCCGGACCGCCCCCTTCCTCCCTCGGCCCGGCGTGTTGTGAGGGACGGTGTGAGGGAGCGGGCGCGGGCCGGTGGGCGAGCTCCGTGAGGGCGAGAGGCGGGGCGCGCGGCGGGCCGGGCCGCGGGCTGCGTGTGCGCGTGGGGGCGCGAGCGGGTGCCCGTCGCGACCCGCCAGCTGCCCGGAGCCGCGGACCCCGCGAGCGCCGAGCGCCGAGCGCCAGTCGCCGAGGGGCGCCGGGCCCGCGCGCGCGCGCACGCACGCACGCACGCGGGGGCGGGGGCAGGCGCGCGCCCGCCTGTCGCGACTGTCGGGGGCCGAGGCCCAGGGGGAGGTGGCCTGTCGCGGGTCGCCCGGCTCCCGGAGGCGAGGGGGGCGCGGGCGGATGGCGGAAGGCGCCCAGCCGCAGCAGCCGCTTCAGCTCGGGCCCGGCGCCGCTGCCCGGGGGATGAAGCGGGAGTCGGAGCTGGAGCTGCCGGTGCCCGGAGGGGGAGGAGACGGAGCCGAGCCCGGCCTGAGCAAGCGGCCGCGCACCGAGGAGGCGGCGGCCGACGACGACGGCGGCGGGATGCAGGTGACCGCGCGGGACGGGCGCCCCGTTACGGCGGGGGTGCGGCGCGGGCCGGAGGGCGGCCGGGGCTCCGGGGCTCCGGGGCTCCCGGGGCTCCCGGGGCTCCCGGGGCTCGGAGCGGGGAGGACTCCAGGGATCCAGGCTTGGAAGTGGGAGGGGGCCGGTCGGGGCCTGGTTGAAAGGTAGGGTGAGCTCCGGCTTGGAGGTGAAGGGTGCAGGAGGAGCCTGGTGTGCCCACGAGGGTCCTGATTCCCGAGGGGACACGGCGCGTGGGCAGGTTTCGGGGGGGAAATCGAACATGGATGAGCTGGATTCCATTTCTTCAAACCCTTCCTGAGTTCCCTGGGGTGGAGTGGAAGCCGGAGATCCTGGGTCTGCCGCCCGGAGAGCCGCTGGACAGTCGAGGACGCGGGGACCCTGGTGGGAACCCTCCCCGAAGGAGTCCCTTTTTGGCAGTCCTCGGCACACACTGGGATGGGGAAGGGGAGTGGCATATCGAGGAGTGGAACGAAAAGCGAGAAAACTCCTCGAGAGAGCCCAAAGGGGATGTGGCTTCGATTGTGGGTTAAATCACAAGGAGTGTGAGGAGTAGAAGTTGGGCAGTGTTGTGGGAACAGCGTGGTGCTCAGTCACATTAACTTTGGGGAGTGTGCTGATGGGTCTGTAGAGAGACCAGGGCATGTCCCTCCTGTACTTTGCCAATTGCATCTTATATAGCTAGGATATCAACTAGCTCTTCACTGTTCTGGGATAGAAGAGAACATTTATAGGGCTGTTAGAAGACTGGATTCTGAGCTGTCGACTCAGGGGATACGCTGGTTGAATTGGGTAGGGAATGGGAAATGTAATGATGATGTCAGTTGACTTTGTAATTTGAGGAAGAATGTGAAACCTTCATAGGTTTTAGGATTTGGTCTCTGTTCAGAAAAAACTTGCTATGAAATGGTGGGGGGCACACATAGCAGCAATTGTTTAGACATCTGTCTAATTCTTAGAATCATGGAATGTTAGAAGGGACCAGAGACATCTATTTCAGGGGTTCTTAACCTGGATAGACTTGGAAGATTCTTTTTTTAATCCTCACCTGAGGATATTTTTTCCATTGATTTTTTTTTTTTTTGAGAGAGAGTGGAAGGGAGGGGGAGAGAGAGAAAAACATTGTCATGAAAGAGACACATTGATTGGTTGCTTTCTGCATAACCTCTACCGAGGCTGGGGATCAAACCTGCAACCCAGGTACGTGTCCTTGACCAGGAATCATCGAACCCACAACCCTTCTGTGCACTGGCTGACTCTGTAACCACATTGAGCCACACAGGCCAGGGCAGCTTGGAAGATTCTTAGGCAGAATAGTTTACATGCACTTTTTGGTGGGAGAGAGTCAGTAGTTATTACTATTATTTTTTTTAGAGTGGATTCAAGACCCCAAATGTTTTAACCACCTCATATTATAGATGGGGAAGCAAAAGTCCAGAGAAGATTGGTGACTTGCCTAAGGCCACCCAGTTAGCTGGTAGTAAAACTAGAACTAAAAGCCTAGTCTTCTAATTCCTATTCCTGTGCTCTCTCCATTACACCACTCTTGGAAATCTCTGCAGTGCTAAAAGACTTCCTGTGCTCCGCTCCTGCTTTTCAAGGCTCTGCCTGACTTCCTGTGTTAGAGATGGAGCTGTGTTTAACCCTGACATGTTTGCTGTGTGCTTCTGGGTCTCCTTTGCAGAGGCTACTCTGTTACTTCTGTTGATTTGGGTAAAGTGATCCTCTTGGTTTTTATTTTTAAATTATTTTGTTTTGTTTACCTGCTTTTGTTCTTCATTAGTGCTCTGTTAGGCAGGGGGATTGTGAAAAGTAAAAGCTTGGGGCCATGGAAAGAGTATAGAAGAATATGGGGAGAGTTTAGGTGAGGAGGGTTAATATTGGATGGTAAGGAGGGAAGACTGGAGGTTGGTGTTGGTGAGCATGTTCTGCTTGGTCTGTGCATTTATCTGTGTATGTCTGTATTCATTTATTGTTTCTGTCAATCATAGTTAACAGTGAGACTCCTCCCTTTCCTCCTGGGGTCCATTATTTGCTGGTTGCCTTCAAATTGGCTAAGGACAGTAGTATTTGGAAGTGAAGCAGTATATAGGGACTTCAGGGTATACAGAGGAAGGAGTGGATTAGGTCCTTTGGGTACAAATGGGCAATTTAGAACTATCCCACAGAGAATCTTTTGTTCATTCTGTGTATTTGTAGATGTTTATTTTTCACTTTATGCATTTTCATTGTTGTAGTTCCAACACACCATGTTACACAGCTATTCATATCATCATTGATATAGTCCCCTGCCTTCAACTAGCTGTATGCTTCTGGGAAAATACCTTCTTTTGGGGCCTCTGTTTCCTTAGTTGTAAAATAGTGTTTATAGAGGATGATTTCTAAGTTACCTTCTAAAAATATGTCAAGTTCCCTGATCTTAAGATGCTTGGTACTTACAGTTTAGGTGGGGAGACAACATGGGTGAAAAGTTTTAAGAATTGTACACAGATGATTTTTTTTGTAAGTTCAATGGAACCAGGAGTAGAGATACCACGGTAGATGCAATTCAAAAGCCATTGCTTAAGTTAGAGCCAAAATATGCACAGGATTTGTGCCACTGGGTCGAGAAGATGGAGATGGTCATTCCTGCTGAAATGATAAAGGAAGGCTTTTTATGGGACGTTGAAATTTGAGGTATAATCGGGAGTAAAGGAGAAACAATGTTCATGAAAAGATAAAATTTAAGCCTAGATGACCTATACTTCTTGGACGTTCTTGTATCATTTTGAGAATAATTACAGAATATTCAATATTCATTTAACTAATGTTTATTGAGCAACTGCTATGTGCCAGGCTCTGTTTCAGAGCCTAGGAGATACGGTAGTGAACTAAACTAAAGATCCTACCCTCATGGAACACATATTCTAATGGAGAGAGACAGACAATAAAGAAATCAACAACTGTTAGGTGGTGGTAAGTGCTAAGAAGAAAGCAGGGTAAAGGGATATAGAGTGATGAAGATTGTCGAGGAAGGCCTCTCTGATAGGTGACCTTTGAATGGAGTGAGGGAATGGGCCATTTAGATACTTGAGGGAAGAGGGCTCAGGTAGAAGGATTGTGGGTATCAAGACAGTTGCATCTTCTAAAGCTAGGGCATCGACTGCCTCTTTTCTTTTATCCTCACTCGAGGACATTTTTGCATTTATCTTTATATAGAGCGGGAGGGAGAGAGGGGTGAAGAGAGAGAGAGAAACATCGACGCATGAGAGGCACATCGAGTGGTGGCCACCCACACGACCCCAACTGGGGCTGGGGACAAACCGCAACCGAGGTACGTGCCCTTAGCGGGAACTGAACCCAGGACTCTCTGGTCCACAGGCTGACGCTCTAACCGCTGAGCCAAACCGGCCAGGGCTCTACTGCCTCTTTAATGTCCTGGGGTAGAGATTGGTGTAGCTGGAGTAGAAAGAGCTGGGATTTGGCAGCCTTAGGAGAGGATATCAACAGTGTAGAAATGACTATAGGCCATATGTAAGGAACACCTTAAAAATCTTAGCCCACCTTTTTGGTGTATGGATTTATTATTTATTTAGGAAAATGCAAATTTATTATCTTACAATGCTAGATATCAGAAGTCCAAAATCAGTCTCACTGATCTAAAGTTAAGATGTCAGCAGGGCTGGTTGCTCCTTGGGGATTCAGGGGTGAACTCATTCTTTGCCTCTTCCAGCTTCTAGAGTCTGCCCCATCCCTTGGCTCATTGCTGGTGGCTATATCACTCCAGTCTCTGCTTCCATCATTATATGGCCTTCTCTTTATATCTGAGTTTGTCTTAAAGCATGTGGTTTTTTCTTGAAACTTAACACAAAGTTTTCTGAGGTCATAGCTCCTTCCAGGAAGCCTCCTGACAGTTTAGTTCACAACAGCCAGAGCCCCCTCTTGTCTCCTATATTTGTTTATTTTTTAAGTATGTTTTTATTGATTTTAGAGAGAGGAAACACCGGCCAGGGCACCCTCTTATCTCTTTTATATTGTTGTTTAATTATGCATCATATAGAGTGTCCCTTAACTGTGTTATTATTCTTATTACCCTAGTGAAACCGTAAGCTGTTAGATTGATGGGAACTATATTTTCTTTGTATTTATTCTTTTTTTTTTTTTTTTTTTTATCCTCACCCGAGGACATTTTTGCATTTTTTTTGTTGTTGTTCAGAGAGAGCGGGAGGGAGAGAGAGGAAGAGAGAGAGAGGGAAACATCGATGCGAAGGGACACATCGAGTGGCTGCCACCCGCACGACCAACCAGGGCTGGGGACAAACTGCAACCGAGGTATGTGCCCTTAGGGGGAACCGAACCCGGGTCTCTCTGTACCGCAGGCCGATGCTCTAACCGCTGAGCCAAACCGGCCAGGGCTCTTTGTATTTATTCTTAATACCTAATGCTTTTGGGTACAAAGCAAGTGCTCAATGCCTGTTAATTTGAAGTTGAAATTCACCTTTTTTCCAAATAATTAAGGGATAGAAAAAAATGAAATTCAGGGGTGAGAGTACCTTCATGAAATTCTCTAATCCTTTGGGTGTCAAAAGATTAACTTTTTTTTTTTTTTTTTTTACAGAAGAAAGTTATTTACTGGGATTAATTTCCCAAGGCTGCTTATGGAATGGAGCTGTACCTCTAAGCTGCAGATTTCAAAGCTGACCCTTGTTGAGTTACAGCCACTAAGCTTTTGGAGTAAATCATTTCTTCCCAAAGTGGACCATAGAAAACACGAGAGAGTCTGTGGTACTTGCGTTGTAATCCTTAGTCTCACAAGGGAGAGGGGAAGGGTTGGTCCTTTCAAGGGCAGTAGCCAGAAGCTTTATGTGGCTAGGAGTTAGCACAACCCTGGAAAAAGTATAGAAACAGAGAACCCTGAACCATGGAGCAGGAGGGAAGAGACAAATTCAACTTGAAAAGTGGAATATGGTTTGAGAGAAATGAATTGT